GGGGAATGAACAAATTACAGACCCTGGTAAAGTTGCAAATATATTCAACAACAATATTAGAAACGATTGCATCGTTGTTTGTTTCATTGTGATAATTAATATGAATAAATTTACTTCACAATCCCGAAATCCTGATCAATTAATAAATTCAACTCTGCATTATCCCATATAAATAATGATATTTTTGTGGAATACCTTCCATAGATCAACATAGATCACTTTCTATAGATTTAATCCATTCCTAAGTAATTTTAATATACTCGACGTCAAAATGTTAGGGACCTAACATTTCTAGGAAAAAGATTAACAGTAAATTAAAAAAAATTATATCAGATAGAAACCAAGGGATTTTTTTAAGGACTGTAACAAGGGAAATATCATTATAAATCAGTTTAATTTTATGCTGTGTACAAGTCAGGTAATACTAGCCTCATTGGAAACTACAGACCTATTACAAAATTAATTTCAAGGTCTTTTATTTCCGATACTTTGCTTAACTGTAGGAAGTTCAGTAATTGTGGTGGTAATGGGTCTAGAAGAGCGATTAAATGAAAAAAGGAAATTTTATAAACTACACCTATCGATTTGATCTCCACAAACTTTGTTTTAAAAAAATATCACGTTTTTCGATAACACAGTAGCTTTTTTATAGTGAACAAATGTACGTTATTGTAAGGTGTAGTTTATGAATTACTTGGATCTTTATCAAGTAACGGCCGAATTACTCAGATCATTTTGTAGTTAAAGACAATCGTTTTTGTGGAACTGATAACTATATACATGAGGGGAAAGAACTGTATATATCATCAGCTTTATATTCACTGGAGGCTGGAAATGTCATTATTGTTAACAGTAACATTTCGGTACAACAGACAAAAATTTAACAATTGCAGGAACAAAGCCTAGCAGAAGTAAACCCACCGCCCCACATCGTGATTAATGTAACCAGTAATCTTCCAAACAACACAGGAAATAACAATAAAGATGAAGGTTTTGAACAAGCTGCAGCTGAAACCCCAACCCAGCAGAAAAGTGACCCTACAGACAATGCAGAAGACAACAATGGGACACCCACTGCAGTTCAACAGAAAATGGAAGAACCCGCTCTTACAAATGATGAACAACTCGGCCGCGAAGAGGAAGAGGATAAAACCAACATGGAGTTTGACGAAAATCTAGGGGAAAAACCTGATCTGGAGGATGGAGGGCAAGCAGAACCTGAGTTAGGTAAGTTTGGTAGACAGATTATTATACCTTACCTCATATTTGTATATTAGGTATTCCCACTTATTCAATAAATGCCTTGAAATAAAAGTATCAGTCCTCAAAGTGAATATTAAAGTATGTATGTTAATCTCTTGAAATTTGTTTTCTCGTTACCCAGGTGTTGCTCTCATACGAACGACAAAGGTTGAAACTTGTGCGAGCTAAGGATTAACGGAGTCTTACCTTTTAACGTTTGATTTCTAGCATGGGTTGAGCAATGGGCAGTGAAAATTGATCGTAATGCCTGTGGGATCAAACAACCGTTTCACGTAGCAGTCAATTGAATGCGTGGAACAAACCATTCACGCCAACCCGACGTAATATCGTCCCGCCACTGTGGCTAAATTTTGCAAAAAGTTTTCACCCATTAAATTGCTTTTTTGTTCTCCACTCTGCAATTTTTTTTTTTTTTTATTTATACGCGAATTACTCAAAAAGTGTTTTATCAAAAAAATAATTCCAAGTGAAAAAGTAGCTCATAAAAAAAACAAAAAGAAGAGTTGATTTATGGTGCGTGTAGAACTACCTACTTTGACATGAACATTGAATCACAAGAAAGGAAAGAAACTTCTGTGTATGCTCCACATGTCTTTGTAAAAAGATATTGTAGTTATTTTCTTCCTTTTTTTTTCTTTGGAGGCTTTCCACATTTCTTGTTGAATGATGGGAAAGAAGTAATTCATAAAGTTTTTTTTCCAAAAAATCAATCTTTTTTAAAAATACTCTCTCTTAAATTTAATTCATGAATTATTCTAAGTCAAATTTTCACAAAATTACAAAAATGCTCTTTTCATAACAAATTCAAATAATTTCAAAACTGAGCTCTGTAAATCGGTCAAACTTTTAGAGCATAATGAAGCATAATAAAGTGAATTGTGAAATAGTGGTAACAAATATTTTCAATAAAGTTGGTGATTAGTGGGTGGGTAATTTTCACATTTTTGTGGCCTAAAAAAATAGGGATCAACATTATTTTTGTTTCCTTAGGGACTTTTTATTAAATAATGAATATGAAGGTTTTTTCAAGCACTTTAAAAATTTACCCCGAAAAATTATTATTTTACATTGGAACTCTCAATTTTGTCAATTGATGAACAAAAACCAATATTCAAGAAGCTATTACTCCATATGAATTAGATCTACAGTCTCATAATATCACCATTCTTTTTGTTTTTTATGGGCCTCCTTTTTACTGAGAATGATTTGAGTTACTCGCCAAAAACTTTCTGAAAACGTTTATTGAAAAATTAACACTTTTGCTCACGAATAAGTGCCCTATGAGGAGGGATGGTATCCACCCCCACTACAGGTTCAACTTTGAAGTAGATAGTAAGTAGAACCTGAGTTGGCGCTGCTTGGCAAAATGATACGGGAAAAATGTCATTCACTGAACTACAGAGACTCTTGCTCTATTTCACAGATTTTTTTGTTTTTTCTGCTAATTCCAACTTCTTTTTTTTTCAGTCGTAGATCATCGATCTAAATCTAATACTCTGGAGACTGCAGTCAACGAAGATAATGTAGAAGAATTGGATGGAGGTTCCTATTTCTTTTCATATTTCATGGTGATATGTGTGTTCTTTGTTCTTGGCTACGTTGGATACCACAACAGAATAAAGGTAAGCCAATGCTTGCAATTTTCATAGACGGCAAGCCCATGTCGAATTTTTAGCAGAGTTTTTGATACCTTTTGAAAACGTATGATAGTCCCAAAGTAAAGAATAACTTTTTTGTACAAGAACTTTTGACAAATTGATTGATTGAATGTTCTAAATTTAACAATATTTGTAATGCTCATATAAGACAAAAAATTATAATTTGTTTTCTAACAAATAAAGCTCCAAACTTAATTCTTTTAAAACCGGAATTATACATCATTAATAAAAATATATCATTTATTACTCTTTGAAAAGTGAAATTGAGTTCATGAAAAGTTTTAAATTGCATAATACTGAATAATTAATTGCTAGAAGAAATAAAAAATCCAAATCAATATACATTTCATTAATTTCATTAAAATGTAATTGATTGTTTATTTTTGGTAATATCAAAAAGTTGTTAAACGTTTCTCAACTCCCTTATACCACCAACATATATTCCGCCTGGAAATTTTAATCAAATTTAAAAAAATGGGTGACTCGTTTCATAATTTTTGCAAAGTGTCTAATAAATTTTTTTTTTCACAAGATTAATAATAAACCAGTTGAATGAAGTTTTGAATACTTTGACCTCGAATATTAATTATTTTTATTTAAGGTTATGGCCCTGGTACTAGAGGGAAAAAGGAATAAAAGGCAATATAGAGGCAGGAGACCGAATTCCGCCAATTACCACAAGCTGGATAGTAATCTTGAGGAAGCCATCTCGTCCACTTGCACGAAAAATTCCAATAACATTATTTACTGAATGATCTTAGCTTAGCTACATTTAACTTCATCATTGTTCATATCATTTGTAAGTTATTTTTTCTAAATCTGTTATGTGTAAAAATGTAAATATCTGAAAAATCTGCAGGATTTTGAAATACACTGAAAGAAAAATTTGAGCGTTTGTTGTTGAAAGCACAAAAAGTTGCAAATGGTTCAGCTGGAGAGGGAACATGAATCTTTCGAATAAATTTGTAAATAGTGGGTTGCTTTTTATTCATTCATATGAATTTATTGAAATCAGAGAGTAACAGCCTTCAATTTCTTCACGTGTTTTAGAAACGGGTACAAACACAAAAAACCTAAAGTAACCAGTGAATACTGATGTCATGATGATCTCTTGGTACGTACTAGCGATTACGTCCATTGATGAACCTTTTTCCTGAAGTACGAAAAATCACTCACTAGCAGCGCTAGTAGTTTGTTAGGGACAAACACTGCCTAATCCTCATATAAACATGTGGTAAAGCACAATTGAAAAATAATGTTTTTAACAAAAGAAGATGTTCCCGGAGCAAAACTAAAATTTGCAACTGTAAAAGATAACAATGTTGTAACATTAAAACGTTGGCTTGCATGCCGTAATTTAAAAGTGACTGAAAAAAAAAGTTAATTATTAGACAGGTTAGTGTATAGACTCTAGTAAAAGAGTAGTGGTAGATTCAAACTGTAGTGTTGAGTTTCAACTGATGAGAGAGCTGAGTATCAACTGTGAAGGGAGCTAAGTTTCAACTGTGGTGGGTGCTGAGTTTCAACTGTGAACGGAGCTGAGTTTCAACTGTGACGGGTCCTAAATGATATGCTATTCACTGGCTCGTATCATCGTCATTCGTTTAGTTCTCATTTACTGACAAACAACTATACAAGGATATATTTGAACGCATTAATTATATTCGAACGCATTAATTATATTCGAACACATATTCGAATCCCTTTAAGGATTCTGTGCTCTGACGGAACACGGAACGGTGAATTGACGACTTTGGTTCCATGAATGTCTTGCCGCCGAGATTCAAAATTTGTTGTGATACTTTTCGAATTTATGTCTAAACTTTTCGATTTTTCGGATTAACCAAGTATGATCATCTTTTATNTGAATATATGCAAAGATTGAAGGTGTAAGTAAGAGAATACTTTACTCATGAATACACTGATCCGTTACTTGTTGAAAATTAATAACACTAGCCATGTGTATATACCGATACCCACAAAACACACTGTTTTGTGGTATATACCTGTGGTTATACGTTTACGAGTTCTGTGCTCGGATAATGAATTTTTCCTGCTTCCAAGACTTCCGGCCATTCAAGAAAGTAGTATTTGACTTTGACAATAATCACAATTGACATTGACAATAACTTCACAACATCACAACTTGAACTAATTTTTCATTTCAATAGTGGTTGAATTCGAAACTTGTCGGTTCGCCTTTGAAACATGAAAATACTGTAACTTTTAAAAGTACGTCGGGTAAATATTCATTTAAAATTGTTTGGGTCGTAGTGCAGAAGTTAACCTAAAATTTTCAGGTCAGAATAATTAGAAGAATCATGCATATATTCCCGTTAATACTATTACTGCTGATTACCAGGAAAATTGCAGACACAGCGCCAATTGACCCTCTTAAATCATTCATCGAAGGCCTGAATAAAAGATGCCCTTCAGATGTTGAATCCTTACATTCATTGAAGTTCCAAAATTGCCCAGATTATGTGAAATTGAACAACATCGATAAATTGACCCGAGAAACCGAAAAGGAAGTTCTGTGTGCACTTTTCTATGATAGCTTACTTTCATTTTGCAAAGAGGTTAAGAAACAACAAATTACACTCGATAAGTTGGTTATCCAGCCTGTCCACAATTACACGCCCAAGGAAGTTTGTGAAAAGCTTTTCCCGGATAATAGAACACTGAAAAATGATTTGTCGAAAGTTATTCTTCCTGGCAAATGCGAAAAATTGTGCACAACATATGAGGGAGTTGAACCTACCATAGAATGCAGTTTGGCTTATTATTTTACTACAGTTAATGTAAGTTCTTTGAGTTCAAACATGAAATTGAACCAGACGCCTTCGGAAAATTCAGAAAGTTCCATTGAACACGTATTCGTTAGTCAAAATCAGTCTGGACTAGTCAACCCAAAAAATAAATCTGATAATGATTTGGTTTCTCCAAACAACCAGATTAGTGAAACCCTGGAAGTCAAACCATCAGTAGCTGATACTTCTGCAGGAAATAATTTAGCTGGGGTTGTTATTCCAAAAGGGTCAAAATCCAGTAAACAAAAGGTAATCTGAATTTTTTTTGGTACATATTCTTTGAGTGCCTGCACTAGTTTTTGAATCGAAAATCATTATTTTTGTCTGCTGATAGCCAATATGATACTGGTGATATATGGTATTGCCGACTACTTTTGGAGATAAATCCACACAAAAATTGAACTCATTTCTCCAGAGGAAGATTAAAACTCCTCTTTTAATCTTCCTCTTTGAAGATGATCACTTGGTGATCAAAACATGTACTAACATACTTAATATTTATTGAAATTTATGTGGCTATTGAAAAGATAAGTATTGTCAAATTTTTTTTAACTTGCTTTTAATGTAAGTCAATTCAAGTCAAATCTTGTAACTGAATTTTAAAGCACCTAACCTAGACGGATGGAGGCAAAATTTTGCATACACGTTCAGTTTGAATGACAATGCACCATTAGCTTAGTGATACTATTATGCACCTAATGATCACTCAAGATAGCAGATTAGTATTTTTAAGCATTCCTTTGATATGGGTTTCAAATGAAAGAATACAAAAAATGGCATGACCTCGTTAAATTTAATTTGGCTGCATTTCAAGGTGGCAAAGAATAGGTTTGCTGAAAAGACTACGATAAAAATCATGATGTCTCTCTGAATCAAATATGGCGGAGTCTCAAAGATGGAGAACTATGTTCTTTCATGCATGACTATTAATTGATTTATTGAAAAA